CAACGCGCTACAGCCCATAATACTTCCAACTTGTATACTTCAAAACACAACAGAAACGAGGACACTAATAAGTGATGCACACAGCTGGAACCGGAGCGCTTGTGGATGTTTGGGGATTATAAAGTTGGCCAACTGTTACTGTCACTGGAAACTAATCTAAAATATAAGTTTTATTGGCTTATTTTAACAATGTGATTGCATGATTCCCTTCGATATTATTGCAGATCTGCTGTAAGCTAGCTATCTCACGTAGCAAACCTAGTCATTTCAAATATACTCACAAAACACTTACAATTATGAAACAGACTAACTTCATAATGCCCGAAAGTCAACAAGGCTTGTTGGCCACTGTACAACGCTGCATTAAAATGTACATAGCCTACTATTTTACAGTAAATGGTGTTTACTTCTGTTGCAGCTGTCCCTGATAAAGTCTTTGTGGTATCCCATATTATTAAGCTATAATCCAAATAAAAACTCTCTCTCAACCACACAGTGTTAACAACATGAGACAAGGGATAAAGTTATGTACACAGAGACATCAAAAGAGTAACCTTATCTGCCTTATTAATGCTTTCTTATACAACAATGTTTGTTGAATTTACTCTACCAATATGCAATCGCAGCAGCTGTGTTTCCAGTTAAATATTTCATATGTGAATAAGGCCTGGTAAAGATAAGATAAGATAAAATGGACTTTGAATAACCCTGTATAGAAATTCAAGTGTCAAGGCAGCAACAGAATAAGAAGAAAGCACCCATATTACAAAGATGTATAAACAATAAAGATGTAGGCCTATTAACAATAACAAAAAAAATAGGAATAAGCCTGTAAATTACTGTGTTTTTGAGAAATACTCAAAGGCCGTTGAGGACTAAATGTATGGAATGCCATTTAAGCCCAAATTAAATAAATAAATAAAAACATAAATAATTAAATAAATACATATATATATAAATATGCCTATGAAATACATTCTGAAATAAATAAATGAGGCAATAAATATGTATACATGTACATTTAAATACACATTTATTTATTTCATGGGACTTTTATTTCATAATGACACATTTATTTATTTCAAGAGACATTTATTTCATAATGAGACATTTATTTATTTCAAGAGACTTTTATTTCATAATGACACATTTATTTATTTCAAGAGACTTGTATTTCATAATGAAACATTTCCATTTCTTATATGCAAATGAACGGGGCGTGGTTAGCTCACAGATCCAGACCAAAGCAACAGCACCGCAACACTGACTCAATAGCTCTTTGTTTCACACTCAGCCTGATTTAGCTCTGGTCCTTCCTGTTTCAGCCACAGCGGAGCCGGCTCTAAACACCGAACACCGGTTCTTAGCTGACCCCACTTGGCTGACCGGCAAGAACCAAGAACCACGCTCACGTCGGAAGGGGGCGAGATTAACCTGAGCCATAACAGTTTATGGCGAGTACGGAAAATGAAAGTTGTAACAAGCAGTAGCGCTGAGCAAATTGACTAGAACGCAACCACACACTTATAAAAAACCACACTTTATAAAGTCAGGCAACACTAACCAGGCTTCGTGTGATTCTGTTTATTTGTATCTTACTTTGACCATCCGTTCACTGTTATTGATCATTGTGGAGAGCAGGCAGAAGTTTTGTTTTGTATTATAGCAGCTATCAGATGGAATCAATACATGGGCTGCACAGGTTGTCATGTCCGACTATCACAAGTAGAATCATAATGAAAAGGTAAAATGTGCCTGTAGAAAACGGCTTATGCCACAATAGGATAGCAACAAGTAGTCAAGATAGTCAGTTTAGCTTCGGTTGCTGTTGCATAACTGCGGTCAACTCAGCCGTCTCTCGCGTTCGCTTGGTAAATCAGCTATTCATTTTTGAGTGCGCAATTAATAGCGCCTTTACGGTAATCGCTGTACAAGAGTAAAATAATGCATGTTTTTTTCTGCTTTATTTGCAATACAAGTCATTTGTACCATAAGTTCTTAATAAAACTGACACTGTTTGACTGCTACAATAAAATGAAGTATGCTACTTTTACTGTGTACTTTATGAGTAATACTCTGTCAAACTCCCTTCCCGAGTACAATAATGCATGTTTTTAGCTATCTTTGATGAGAGATAAAATGGTATTTTGCCAAAAGTTCTTAGTTAAATTGATACTGTTGGACTCAGTACTACTTGGACTACTACCACAAGTACAATCAAGTACTTTTACTGTGTACTTTTTGAGTAATACTAGGTCAAACTCCTGTCCTGAGTACATTCTTTCATGTATTCTGCTATCTTTGATAAGAGATAATATCTATATTTCAGGTATTTATTTAAATAAGAAGTGACCTTTGAATAAATATTGCAAAACAAAGCCTATATCACCTGCAGGCTTAGCCAGTGTGTATTTCTTCCTGCACTACAAGATTTCGATGTGTACACATCTGGGCCATTTATTGTGTAATTTCTCCAAACATATACAAATGCCTGTATTGGAGTCAAAAAGGTGCAGTAGAAGGACTTTAGCAGCATCATAAGAGGCCAACAAGAGTGACAGGGGTGTGTCACTGTGCTGAAGGAAGGTTGTGAACAGCTATCCAGGATAGTCTCTAAAGACTTTCTAAGGGGTAACAATGCTGCTGCTGGAGTACTGATCTAGTGGATAGTGTTGATGTCATCTGTCTCCCTTCTCCTCTTAAAATACTCTGTCTAACATTATCTGTACATTACATTACATTACATTACATTACATGTCATTTGTTAGACACTTTTATCCGAAGCGACTTACATACATTCAGTACTGTGGACAATCCCAACAGGAGCAATTTGGGGTGAAGTGTCATCCCCTGATTCGAAGTCCAGCACACTATCCACTGGCACTGAGCCACAGCCTCCCAGTATTGTGAACGCTTTTAACGCTTATTAAATATAGCAGAAAACATGCATTATTCTACTCAGGAGGGGAGTTTGACAGGGGATTACTCAAACACTTGATTGTACTTGTGGGAGTAGTCCAAGTAGTACTGACTCCAACAGTATCAATTTCATGTAGAACTTGTTGCAAAAAATCATTTTATCCCTCATCAAATATAGCAGAATATGAATGATTGTACTCAGGAGCGGAGTTTGACAAAGGATTACTCAAGAAGTACACAGTAAAAATACTTTATTGTACTTGTGGGAGTAGTCCAAGTAGTACTGAGTCCAACAGTCCCAATTGTATTAAGAACTTATGGCAAAATATCATTTTATCTCTCATCAAAGATAGCTAAAAACATGCATGATTGTACTCTGGAAGGGAGTTTGACAGAGTATTACTCAACAAGTACACAATAAAAGTAGGCTACTTCATTGTATTGTAGCAGTCAAACTAGGACTGAGTCAAACAGTGTCAGTTTTATTAAGAACTTATGGTACAAATGGCTTGTATTGCAAATAAAGCAGAAAAAAACATGCATTATTTTACTCTTGTACAGCGATTACCGTAAAGGCGCTATTAATTGCGCACTCAAAAATGAATAGCTGCTGATTTGACCAAGCGAACGCGAGAGAGACGGCTGAGTTGACCGCAGTTATGCAACAGCAACCAAAGCTAAACTGACTATCTTGACTACTTGTTGCTATCCTATTGTGGCATAAGCCGTTTTCTACAGCACATTGTACCTTTTCATTATGATTCTACGTGATAGTCGGACTCGGACATGACAACCTGTGCAGCCCATGTATTGATTCCATCTGATAGCTGCTATAATACAAAACAAAACTTCTGCCTGCTCTCCACGATGATCAATGACAGTGAACGGATGGTCAAAGTAAGGTACAAATAAACAGAATCACACGAAGCCTGGTTAGTGTTGCCTGACTTTATAAAGTGTGTTTGTTTATAAGTGTGTGGTTGTGTACTAGTCACTTTGCTCAGCGCTACTGCTTGTTACAACTTTCATTTTCCGTACTCGCCATAAACTGTTATTATGGCTCAGGTTAATCTCGCCCCCTTCCGACGTGAGCGTGGTTCTTGGTTCTTGCCGGTCAGCCAAGTGGGGTCAGCTAAGAACTGGTGTTCGGTGTTTAGAGCCGGCTCCGCTGTGGCTGAAACAGGAAGAACCAGAGCTAAATCAGGCTGAGTGTGAAACAAGAGCTATTGACAGGGGTGCACATAACTGGTACGCAGGTACGCATGCGCGGCAACAATCTGAAATGCGTACCGTCACTTGTGTCACAAAGCGCATTTGCGTACCGACGTAAATGTGAAGCTTTTCCAGAAGGCGGTTAGTTCACCGGACGACAGAGTCGGTCTCCGTGTGCACAGCAGCCCTGCGCTAAAACAGCTGATCACAACGTTTACACGCTCCGCGGTCACGAAGCTCTGTACTCCACTACCCCCCCCCCCCGTTGACAATCGCCAGAAGTTGGAGTACCAAACACTGACTCCAGGTACTCATCTGAGTACCTCACTGAGAAAGTTGTGTGCACCCCTGGCTATTGAGTCAGTGTTGCGGTGCTGTTGCTTTGGTCTGGATCTGTGAGCTAACCACGCCCCGACAATTTGCATATAAGAAATGTCCCCTGAAATAAATAAAAGTGTCATTATGAAATACAAGATCCCTGAAATAAATAAATGTGTCATTATGAAATACAAGTCTCTTGAAATAAATAAATGTGTCATTATGAAATAAAAGTCTCTTGAAATAAATAAATGTCTCATTATGAAATAAAAGTCTCTGGAAATAAATAAATGTGTCATTATAAAATAAAAGTCCCATGAAATAAATAAATGTGTATTTAAATGTACATGTATACCTATTTATTGCCTCATTTATTTATTTCAGAATTTATTTCATAGGCATATTTATATATATATGTATTTATTTAATTATTTATGTATTTATTTAATTTTGGCTTAAATGGCATTCCATATAAATGCAGGTATTTTTGGGCTGATTTTCTTTGCCATCTTTGGCCCTCCTTAAAGGAAATCCGTAATTCCAGTGGGAGGGTTCAACTGTATTCAGACCTTTATACAGTCTATGATTCAGACCGGAGATCTCTACGGACTCACCCCTGCACGACATGTAAGTGTTAACTGAGCGTCTTGTCTCCATTTGTGCAGCTTAAACACCATGCGAAATTATTGCGATAGTGAACGAGCGTTGTGACGTTAACTGAGCGTGCAAATATCGCCATCAGCCGTTACACATATCGAGGGAGACACTGACGCGACAGGATCTCTATCTCTCTGTTTGGTTTGAGTTTCAACTGCTGTTGGAAACATTTCTGCACACACAAGGGCAGCTGTGTTATGATAGTGAAGATATCATATGACGTGCAGCAGCTGGAAACATGCTCATGTTCAGCGAACCTAGCCAAGAATGTTAGCGATCCGCCAGAATGAAGTTCGTTTGAAACGAACTTCATTCTGGCGGATCGCTAACATTCTTCAACCAGGTTCAACCAGTGGACTGTGTAAATATTCAATATGGTCTAGCTGCGGCCGCGTCAAGTACACAACACTACACGACACGCCCCCTACACGACACGCCCACCTGACACGACACTACGGTGGCTGAGAGACATTTGATCTCCAGTGTGCTGGGCGGCGGAGGGAGCCGAGGGCACCACCGGAGGAGAGGCGAGCGATGACAGCAGCATCACCGTGGTGCAGCTCCCCGCACAGACTGAGGGGACTTGTTACACGGAGCCCATCACCGGGGAAGCCTACGGCGGGAGAAGGCGATCTGCTCGGCCTGCCCTTGGCTCTGGGGTCCCTCCTTAAAAAAAGTCTCATCATACTTAATCCTAGACAGTAGCACATGGTATATATTGTACGACTTTGTCATTTTTTTAATGTTGATATGTATTCGCTCATAGCCTACTGTGCCTTTCACGCAGACAATACAAGTGCATTTTGAAATTACAAATAGGTTTATGTTTCAAGTTTATTTGCATTAAAAACGTGTTTTTAAACCCTTCTGTTCAAATTTGATATTTTGTTTCTTAAAAGATTAAATCTTTAAAAACATGCTGTTTGCCATTTTTAAAGTTTGATGGAAGAAATTAAAATATAGGTCACTGACGTGGAGCTTTAGGCCTGCAATGCTTTAAAAAAAAAATTTGGTGTTGTTTCAGTTTTGAGTGAATATGGATGTTAAATTCACAAATGAGTATGAATAATCTTAAACAAGAACAGGATCTTGAGCCATGATGTTTTTAAAGTACAGAAACATTCAGAATGCATGACGATTCCTTCAAAGGTTTTGTAATAGACCCCTAGTACTTTTAATTTATAAAGTAATAATAATACATTTGAATGATTGAGCTCATTAGTGGCCTGACTGGCCCTCCTAATTTGGTCCTTAATGACCCCATGATGTGATTATGTATATCTTAAAACCTTTAACAACTATATTTAGATGTTCACAAATATCTACATTTATGTATAAATACATGTGTAGCAGTTAGACAAACATAATTAATAGATTATCTCATTAATACCTATTTTATACATTAAAAAAAGTTTACTAAACCACCGTTTGTTGACAAAATGATTTGGGTTGAAAGTTATACTGTTGTGTCTCAAACGGATAGACTAGGTTATTAATTTATTTGCCTAATAGTTGCTTAAAATGCTACAATAACATTTGCAATTCGTTTTTAATCAGCCATGTACGGTAATGTCTCTCAGCCACCGTAGTGTCGTGTCAGGTGGGCGTGTCATGTAGGGGGCGTGTCGTGTAGTGTCGTGTACTTGCCGCGGCCGCAGCTGGACCCTTCTCTAAATATTGGCAGTGGGTCGGATGACTGAAAGGAGAACATCTATCTGAAATTGCTTATTCTGTATAATACAGAATAAGCAATTTCAGATAGATGTTCTCCTTTCAGTTTGATTTTATATTGTAGCTACATTATAGCCATGTACACTCACTCAATTTACAAAATTGCACATTTTTAATTTCTTGTCTTTATTAACTGTTACGCACCATCCCCTCGGTACCGGGCGGATAAACGCGTCATTTGCAGGAAACAACGTCTAAGGAATCTTAATATTTAATAAACTATGAATGTTTTATATCCATGTAACTGGAAGAAACTCAGCTAACTGATCTTTTTAATTTTTTTTTCCAAAAAAACCCCACAATGCTAACACTCAGCCTCTGAATTAGCCACGAGCGAAAAAAATGTAACCTATCTCTGCAACTAAACTCACAATAACTCCCTTATTACTTATCCTAGATGCACAGCCAACCACTCGTTTTGGGTGTCCTGGAGACACAGAATCGTTTGGTGCCCACCTCAACACTCCGTGATAAACATTTGCGACGCTATAAACGAAAGCGTACATCATAACATGTGGAGCTAGGTAGCTAGAAACGCTAACATGGCTTACCTTGGTCAAAACTGGTCTTCAATGGCATTAAAACGACAAAAAAACGATGCTGCAGTTAATCCATAGATTAATCCAATGTGTCTGTATACTCTTTGAAATTATTTCTGATAATCCATAAGCAATAAAACTGCTTTTTCGTTTCCAAATGTCAGAGCGAGAGATCGGTCCACTCTGCTGCATATTTACATGCGCGCAGCCCCCACCTTTTCTCTTCACAACGTGTGTGTGTGGGGGCCTCCCCCTTCGATTATATTGGCTCTAACGGTCAGAAAGAGGTGTCAACCATCCAAATCGAGCAAGGGGGGCCAGAGATATGGAAAAAAAACAATTTTCACCCAAATCACCTCAGAGGTGGGGTGGTTTTGGCTAAACCTCTCTAAAAAGGTCAAATGTCACTTGTTTTGCATCAATCTTGATACAGGGTACTTATTATTTGTTGTACTTTGGATTCCTAAAGCTTTTAGTCTACTAACCCATCATCCAAGGGTAGTTTTCACTATCTGTAAAAAAGAATTTTTGGACGGACACTTTAATTTACAGTTTTTTACTATGTAAAATCTGAATTTTCTTTAAAATAAAAAACATCTATATTGATTCTGACACTTCTACATCCAACTCACAGATGTAACCTTGCTTTGATAAAAAGAAATTATTCATATAACCCTTTTAGAAGTTAAGTTGTAGTCATTTGTTTTGAGCATGTCATTTTCGAGCCTGAAACATGAAAAACAGGCTTGGTGCTTAACAGGACCAGTCAGACTGGACTTTTCTTCCAGTCAGTAGAAATTGACTAGAAGTAAAAATTGTAAATTGAGTGAGTGTACATGGCTATAATGTAGCTACAATATCAAATCAAACCAAATCAAAGTTTATTTATATAGCCCAATATCACAAAACACGTTTGTCCCAGTGGGCTTTACAGAATATAAACATGGATGACAGTGTAAAATATAGTTAAAATTACAATACATTTATTAAAAACATGATAGAACGTGAAATACAAATAAAATAGCTAAAAATAAAACGAGATAAAATACAACAAAAACACAGTAAAAACAATACGAAACCTGAACACTCCTACAATATGAAACCTGAATCATGTAGGCCTACTTGCGGACTTTCCTTTATTATTTCCTTGTTATGCTACTTTATATGGTGGCCGACAGGGGGCACATGCTCTAGAACGGCCACAAAACCCTTATGCTGCGTTCACACCGGACGCGATGCGAATATTCGCTTCGCTCTAATCGCTCCTATCGCATCGCTCTAAACGCTCGAGTTTCACCGCGGCTGCCAGCTGTGTTTACTCGCATCATTCAAACAAGACGCGCTTGCTCGGGAGCTACAACTACAACAAAATGAACATATTTTACCGTGATTAAATTGTAATACACGTTTCTAAATGATGCCGAAGTAACAACATACTGATACCGGTTAGTAAAAACCATGAATTAATGCTTGACAAGTCTACAGACAAGACGGCAGGTGAAAAATCTTTTAAAATGCTTGTTTTCTGAATGAAGATCGGGTCGACCAGGCTAAGCTAACGTTGTATATGCTCATTCCACACTCATAACAACGGCCTACAGACATTAATAAACCAGCGACTGTATTCGCCATGACACAGACAGTCTGTGGTTTGTACTTTTGTCCAGTTTCTGAACAGATATGAGGAGCTGTGAGCTCTGTGTGCTAACTGCTAACAGCTAACGGCTGATGTTGTGTGGTTGAACGTCAGTGACGGCAGGCTGAGATCCTCACCGCTGATTGGCTTCCGCGAGAACGCGTCACGTGAATTTGACGCTCGAGTTGAAAAAATTGAACTCTCGCGTTTAACGCGGCACCGTTCAATCGCCTCAATCGCGTGATTCGCGCCGCGTCCACCGCTTCATGCGCACCGTCGGAGCGAATTTGCGTCTGTCCGCGTCTCTGCATTGACTTTACATGTAATCGCGCCGCCCCCAAACATCGCATCGCGTCCGGTGTGAACGCAGCATTACATTAAAGGTCCCTTGTCATGGCCTATTCTACTGATCATAATTCCATTGTTGAGGTTGTAGTGATTGACATAATTCACCCACGGAACTATGGGTTGGGGGTATTGTTCCGCACGGACATATATGTTAACTGTACTTACTGTGTGCCCTCCTTTCTTCTCTTCCTGGGCTTCAAGCTGATAACATGTGTGTTTCTGATGCTCAATAAAGCTAACTTAGTACCTTCGATACACCGCCTCCGACTCCCGTCTCTCAGCACTACAAGGTCTACTAGAATATATTTACATTGTTCAATGTTCCAAAATCACAAGGCTCCTGGACCTGATGGCATCCCTGGCCGTGTTCTCAGGGTGTGTGCAGTTCAGCTGGCAGAGGTGTTCACAGACATCTTCAACAGGTCCCTGCTGCAGTCTGTAGTTCCCACATGTCTTAAACACTCCACCATCATTCCTGTCCCCAAAAAGACAATCATCACCTGCCCCAACGACTACCGCCCAGTAGCACTCACCTCCATCATAATGAAGTGCTTTGAGCGGTTAGTCAAATTATTCATCACCTCCTCCCTCCCTGAATCTCTGGACCCCCTGCAGTTTGCCTACAGAGCAAACAGGTCCACAGACGACGCCATAGCCCTCACCCTCCACACTGCCCTCTCACACCTGGACCCGAAGAACAGGAACACATATGTGAGAATGCTGTTCATTGACTACAGTTCAGCATTCAACACCATTGTGCCCTCCAAGCTGGCCATCAAGCTCAGAGACCTCGGGCTCAACAGCGCCCTCTGCGACTGGATCCTGAACTTCCTGACGGGCAGACCCCAGGCAGTGCGGGTGGGAAACATCACATCCTCCACCCTGATTCTTAACACCGGTGCCCCTCAAGGCTGCGTGCTCAGCCCTCTCCTCTACTCCCTGTTCACCCACGACTGCGTGGCCACACACAGCTCCAACACCATCGTGAAGTTTGCTGATGACACGACCGTCATCGGCCAGATCACAGACGATGACGAGACGGCATACAGAGAGGAGGTCGAAAACCTGACATCTTGGTGCCAGGAGAACAACCTCCATCTCAACATCAGCAAAACAAAGGAGCTGATTGTGGATTACAGGAAGCAGCAGGGAGAGGGACACGCCCCCATCGCCATCAATGGGACTACGGTGGAGAGAGTCAAAAGCTTCAGGTTCCTTGGGGTCCACATCACTGAGGACCTGACATGGTCTCTTCACACCACCACCATCACCAAGAAAGCTCGACAGCGGCTCTTCTTCCTCCGCAGGCTGAGGAGGTTCAAAATGGATTCCAGGATACTCTGCAACTTCTACAGGTGCACGATAGAGAGTATCCTCACTGGCAGCATGACGGCCTGGTACGGCAGCTGCACCGACCTCGATCGTAAGGCTTTACAGAGGGTGGTGAAAACTGCACAGCACATCACCAGGACGGAGCTGCCATCCATGGAGGACCTTTACTCCCAGCGGCTCAGGAAGAAATCACTACGGATTATCAAAGACCCCCATCACCCCAGCCACAAACTGTTCTTTCTGTTGCCGTCTGGCAGACGTTACCGCAGCATCCGGGCAAGGACAAGAAGATTCGGAGACAGTTTCTTCCCGCGGGCAGTGAGACTGTTAAAAAATTGAACTGTTGAAACAACTTCAAACATTCAACTGCTACTCAGTAGTATGTATCTAATACCTAATATATATATATCATTCCAATAACTTGTATATAGACTCATACTGCACTATTCCACATCATAACTTTATTTCATTTTTATAACTATTATTATTTTTGTATTGCTCTTGCTCTTATTGTTATTATGTTATGTTATTATGTTGCATTGTTGGAGAAGCCTGTGACATAAGATTTTCAACTGCATAATTACTCTGTAGCTATGTCAGATTGACAATAAAGAACCTTGAACCTTGAACCTTGAACCTTGGTTTTCTCATACAGCATCTCTGTATAGTATGTGTATTCACTCTCTGTCCTACACGCCTTGTTGGAGCTCCTGCCCCCCCCTCCCTATGAGCCCACTGTGCTCTGATGTGTGTTTATGTGTTACAACGGCATTTGTTAGCAACCAGAAAAGGACACCAGTAATGACAAACAGATGAGAATGCTGCGTGGGGTCTGGGTGCCGTGTTGGCGGGACGTTGCAGGGCTCGCTGCCCCGCCCTTTGAGGCTCGAGGAGGGGACAGTGTGAGGTGGATTTCTGGTGTTGTTTCCTGGTTGCTGCGTGGGGTCTGCGAGACAGCGAGACACCACGGAACTCAGCCTGAGCACACACATACACTCACAGCCAGGCTGTTCGCCACACAGTTCGCCACACACGTGAGTGTGAGTGGAGATTCACGGATTCACGGAGCCGCGGCTGAGAAAAGATAAGTGTGTGTGTGTGTGTGTGTGTGTGTGTGTGTGTGTGTGTGTGTGTGTGTGTGTGTGTGTGTGTGTGTGTGTGTGTGTGTGTGTGTGTGTGTGTGTGTGTGTGTGTGTGTGTGTGTGTGTGTGTGTGTGTGTGTGTGTGTGTGTGTGTGTGTGGCTCCACGGATTGGTCCAATTGGACCTGGGCATGGTTACGTCACCATACTCAGGAAGAAACAAATGGAAAAAGAAAAATCTCCAACAAGGCGTTCTGGGGCAGCATAGACAGGTATTTTCTGTGTTAGAGTTTTACTCGCTACAGGGTGTACTTTGAGGGTTTGTGACTCTGCAGACCGTTTACGTGCAGAAAAAGCTACATAACACACAAGGGGACAGGTAATAACCGGAAAAGCATGACATGGGACCTAAGAAATGCGCTGCAGTTTAAAATACGAAGCAAAGTAAAAAACATAACACATGCAAATGAGCTGTCACATTGGTACAAAGGTTTCTTCATTTGCATGTGTTATGGCACATTTGTGTTTTTATGTTTGCATAGTTTGTGAAAGTGCATCAAGTTTCTCCTGATGTAAGTGTTTTGGGCTTTTTAGCGCATTTGCCCCCGGTGGCCACCATTACTTTATACTTTGGTACAAACCATTTTAGAGGTAAATATTGTATATTTTGTATGGATGGAGTTAGACTTGTCTTGTATTTAAAATTATTTCCAACTTGACCATATATAACCTTTAATTACTGTTTACATGATGATGCTTAAAAAAATATTAGCTTAGTAATATGATGACACTATAAAGGCCCATTATGACAAACGAATACTTTGAGTACATTTATCTGATAATGCTTTTGTATTTAATTAAAAACTTTTATTGTTCCTATACTGTAGTATTACTCCTTTTACTTATGTGAATGATATATTATATTAACATTCCGGCCCTCTTAGCTGTTAATGGAAATATTTTGTGTTTTTGTGCCAGATTATTTGCCATGGCCTCTCCACTGAAGAGTCTGGTTATTGATGATAACAGGTACCAGAAATCCTTCCAGCTTTTTCTGGAGCGCTCCTCCGAGCATCAGTGTATGCAGGACTTCATCCACAACACGCTGCCAGATATACTGGCCAGGTAATCTGCCACACACACTCACACACACACTTTCTATGAGTGAAGCCACAGACCTGGCCATTGACAGTATTATAAAAACATCAGAAGTACATTCAAATATATTGATGTACTCTATACTAGAGTTAGTGTAGTGTTTGCCAACATTTCTGCGTCAAGTTAATTGATTAACTCTCTAAAATCAGTTAGTACAAAATGCAACAAAGTACAAAAATACCCCAAATTTGTCGAGAGAAGGCAGTGACATGTTTATTTTTTCATATTTTAAATGTTTTCAAAAACGTTTGATTATGTCATTTTTGTTTTCATGTTTGACCCGTACATCATTCTTAGATTACGTTACATGTCATTTGTTAGACGCTTTTATCCAAAGCGACTTACATACATTCGGTACTGTGGACAATCCCCACAGGAGCAATTTGGGGTGAAGTGTCTTGCCCAGGGACGCAACGACATGCTGACTGCAGTGGGACTCGAACTTGCTATCCCCTGATTCGAAGTCCAGCACACTATCCACTGAGCCACAGCCTCCACTTAGATTGTCAGAACTGTCAAACATTAATATTGGCTATAAACAATCCTGTTAAGGTCAAACCGTAGTGAACATACAGTATAACTTGTTATACAAGTGTTGTGATAATATTGTTGCTGGATAACTAAATTACCATAAGCCTAGAGAGATGTTCTTAACCTTTGAGCAATCCAGGGGGGAGACATAGAAAAGATGCATTATTTAGTAGATATTTAGTAGGCAGATTAGCGGAAAATAGAAGTGATTGTGATTAACACGACAGATTCAGAGAGGCTGATTATTACTAAGCAGGATCAGCCTCATACTTCACTTTGTGCTTGCAAGAGTGTATACACCTCCAACAATTACACTGTCAAACAAAGTTAAAGAAAATGCAGTGTGAAGACTTCTGCTGCAAAGGCTACGAACAATTAAGCAGTGCAGTGTCAGTTTGTTATGACTAAACTTAGAACCCCAAACATAACATATTAATATTTTATGAGTATGTCCTGCCTACTGTCACTGAGATGCTTACAAAAACGAAATAAATGATTGCACAAATGTACATAGCTAAACAAGGTGTGCATATGTGAATGACAAGAAGTGTATATAAAATGTCCCTTCTTGAAATGTTCTATGTTCATATAAGCTTGAGCCTTAGAGAACTCTGTGACGCAGAGCAGGGAGCAAATCTGGAGTGATATGACTCCCAAGTAATTAAAACATATAATAGTGTTATTAAAATCAGTTGGTGATTGACAGAACATTTCATAGGAAGAATGAAAGCCCCGAGCCAGGAGATGCTTCAGATGCTATATAAGAACATCTCACGATGTCAGGCAGAATTGACGGTTACAGCCCCAATCGGCAGGTAGGAAGCTGTGAGTTTTCAGACTTTACTGTTCTTAAGAAGTGCTTTTCTGCTCTCCCCTCAGCATTGGAGATGGAAAGTCCCATCTAAATGTCATTGGAGTTGGAAGTGGAGCTGGTAAGAAGACTCAGTATAGGATACTTTAAGTGCCAAACGTATCTTGTGTTTTGTGTGACACGGTTAGTAGCTGAGCGACCTCTGCTGCAGACAGCGAAGGTGAGGAGGCGTTGTAGAATCAGCCTGCAGCATTAGTTCCTTTGGCACTGCTGTCATCTATGTCTGCAGCACTAAAAACCTTTACCCTTATTATCAGTGGTAAGAGTTTGAACCCATCTACCTGGTTGTCAGATTAATCTTTAACCTCAGTCGTGGACGGAGTGACCTCACTAGTGTGTGGTTTCACTGCATTTTGTTTCCAGTGCTCATGACACAACAGGGCTAATTTGTTCCTGATCAAACTCACTACATGCGCATGAGTGCTATTACCCTTCACTTATGTCAGAGCCAATTCCTTTAATTTACCTGAGCTGTCATGTCAGTGTCATAATGGAGCGGCGGTACAGATTCTGTAATGGAATGTAAAATCCATTAGAATGGCTACAAACTCCCCTGTAAGGTATTATTCAATCTAATCAGAAAGATTCAGCGCCTGTCCACATCGGATTCTTTACTTGGATGTACTCTCGTACATGGAAACGTGTCAGATTCAATAACAACTAGAACAAAATCACCTGCCTGTGGCAAAGTTATATTTGGAGAAAAATCCTAGTGAGCTTTGACTTGAGGCTTTCCTGAGATTATAACAACATCAAATGTATAATTTCTTGCATACCTGACAAGTACAACTGTTGGAAATGTGGTGACATGCATTTACTTTTATAATTGAACAGTTTGGCTGCTGTCGGGAGAATGGGTCGAGATTTTATTAGCAAGAAATGGGTGTTTTTCAAAATAAGAACTGTTGGTTTGTGTAGGTGAGATTGACCTCGAGATGCTCTCCCAGCTCCGTCTGAAGCACCCAGGGGTGACGGTGGATAATGAGGTGGTGGAGCCTAGCAGCACGCAGCTACATCAGTACAAAGGTACAGTCTTATAGGCACACGCATATCTCTCAAACCGCACATTTATACTGTGTCTGTATATTCACATGCCCCCAAAAATGTGTTCCGATATGTAATTTAACAGCATAAAAAAGGCTATATTCACATTTGTTGTATTTCAATGCAGAGAATACATTATATATCTGCCCTTGGCTTTCCCACTTATACATAAATAATACAGTTATACATGTATTACAGTAGCAGGGGGATGGTCCTTTGACCACCAGCCCCAGAGTCTAGCCCTCATGTCAGCAAGTATCCACCTTTCAGAATCTCTTTTTGAGAAAAACTGTGAATCCCCACCAGCTCTGCTGCTCTCTGACCAGGAGTTTAGAAAAACTTCTACTAGTTCTACTTCGAAATATTCACACAAACACATGTGTTCAAAATACTATCCTAATAAAAGATGTAGGCAAACAGTGATCCTGAAGTTCCTCTTTCTTATCTTTTGTGTCCATCTCTGCTGCATTGAGTGCCAATAACTGTTTCATTTCCTGTGGGTGGCTCAATTACTGTAGCCAAGTATCTGTTGACTCAAAACTTTACCAGAATTAGTGTTTTCTAAAGCGTCTTGAAATCTTTTGTGATATCAAGACTTGCCCATGCTTGCCTCCTTCGCATCGGCAGTTTAAAGAAAAATCAATGTTGGATGGAAAAAGATAGTTGAAACTAAACTTATCACAAAACAAGATGTGTTTCCAACAATGTGACAAGCAAATGTTATAGTCGTAAATGCAGAGACTAAAATATCGAAGTAGCAGAAAAGTATTTTTCTGACCTACATAAGTTATTTTATACTTTCCCTGTGTGGTTTAGAGATGTTTCATTTACACAAAGTAACATTGATTCTGTTTTGTGTCTCTTTATATAGTTATGGTGTCACAGAAACCAAATTTAGATTACATCAAATTTACCTGGAACAAGATGACTTCCTCCGAGTTTGAGGAGCAGTGGAGAGTGAAAAAGATGACTAAGAAGGCTGACTTCATTCACATGATACAGGTCGGTGCCGCTGACGTGTGCTTCTTGCTCACAGACTATATTTTTGACACATCTAGGTCGTATTCACTTGGCGGCGCTCCACAGCAATTAATCCCATTAGAACATCTGTGTAGCATAGCGTTCTAATTAGGTGCTATGTGAATCCAGTTACCAGCTCATTATCTGTGGTGAAATCGACAGATGCTGTACTATGTGAAGGATCCTGGAGCTACCGTCGAGTTCTTCCAGAGCCTCCTCGACAAGAAGGGGAAGCTTCTTATCATCCTAGTATCTGGTGAGTGGGTGGATTTAATCTCATATTATCAATTTTTGTATTTTCTTCTCTGATGGCAAGGGTTGGTTATGCTGTATATAGTCAGCACACCTATTTTCTATAGATTCAGTACAGTATACAGGGAACACAATCATTTTAGAAATATATAAATATACAAATACTATAACTGTTGTTATCAGAAGTTGTGAAAACAAGAGAAAACCCTACATGTGCAAATAAGAATTATTGTTGCTTTCATGATACAGGGATACATGAAAGCAACATAGGGATACAACTTAATATATTGCAAAACTGTCAGCATGGTGATATATATCAAAAAATAATAATAATTTGAGAAAAAAAGTCAGGGTACAAGGAACACACCACCATATGCATAACATCTAAGTGTAAAAGGTTTATTTTTTTATGCATCTAGAAAAGAGGGATCTGCTAATGATTTATCACAGTCCAAAACACTACACTTTTTGTGCTATCTGCCACATATCTTTGCATCTTACAATAAAAAAACCAATAGGCCTACAGTGTTTGTTAAGAGTTGAAACTGTTACACAAATCATAATTGTGATAATTTGAGACCAATTTTCTGCTAAACTAATGATATTCCCATCAGTCTCAGCTTTATTTGATATTTAGTGCCAATTAGCAAATATTTATAGATAGATAGAATCGGAGGGATGAAACCCTCTTTAATGGTCACACATGCAGAGCACACAGCACACACAGTGAAATTTGACCTCTGCATTTAACCCATCCTAGTAGTAGGAGCAGTGGGCAGCTATTGTACAGCGCCCGTGGAGCAATGGGAGTGGGGGGGTGGGAGGTTGTCCAGTGCCTTGCTCAAGGGCACCACGCATTTAGAATGCTAGCATGCTAAGATGTTGAACAAGGTAAAAATAGTAACTGTCAAGAACAAAAATTGGACTAGAGCACATACACATTTTGTTTGTTAATCGTGCAAACATATGAAAATGTTTACTCGCCTTGCCTATATTCGAGTAAAAAAGACCTCAAAAAGTGTGAGCATGTTAGCATGTTAGCATGCTGAGGTTAGCATGTAGCTCTAAGCACTGGTAGGCCAGAGTAAAGCCTCGAGAGCTGCTAGCTCGGCTGTAGACTCTTATTTCTACTTTCATGTAATCTTTTCCAGGTGAGAGTGGTTGGGGAAAGCTGTGGCGGACCTACAGGAGCCAGCTCTGTAACACAGAAATAAGTCAGTGTGTGACCACTGGAGACATGAAAAGCTTTCTGGACTCCAAGGGTGTGAGCTACCAGAGCTACGAGCTGCCTTCTCAAATGGATATCACAGAGTGTTTCACAGAGGGGGATGAGAAGGGAGAGCTGCTGCTTGATTTCCTCACTGAGGTGCTGGACTTCAGTAACACAGCCTCTCCTGAGCTCAAAGCCGGTGTCCTGGAGTTACTGCAGCACCCAGACTGCAGCATGGAGTCCAATGGCAAAGTTCTCTTTAACAACAACCTTGGGGTCATAGTCATACAGTAGATCCGCAAACTTAGAAACAAGTGCTTAATAGCCTATGGTGATTTATACATTTGCAGTAGAATAACAGCATACTTGAATAGTTTTTTTAAAGGGCAATTGATTCCCATTGTACAGTGTATTATTTACTGTATATAATCAACAAGCGTTTAGCCTTTGTAGGATATGCTTAGTTTTACATGATTGATTTTTACAAACAAGTTATTTTCTATAATTGTATTGTATTGATTTTTCTATGCCTGTGCAAAATGAATATGGCTTGATTATGTTTTTATCTATAACACACAGTGTGTTTATTTGTGTGCGCCACCCAAAATGTAAAGACCTGAGTTTTAATCGGCTTTAGACATCGTCCTCAGGTTTCATCATGAAAGCTTTTGTAATGGACAACAGCTGGCAGGCTGTGCTACCAACCCCATTACACTATGGCTCCCATTGGATCATATTACTTTGGAAGTGTAAAAATAAATGGAAAATTCAACGTTTAATTTTCCATAGAGATTGAGCTGTTCAATTTAATAAACTGGAGACTCCTGCGGGAGTGTCTGCATTTTATGTCTTCGCTCTTGAATGTTATATATTGAAATGGTTGCATATAATATTTACATCAATGAGAGAACATGATTAAAAACCAAAACCTGTTAAAGCTTGGTTTTCTGTTTTGTAAAGAAGCTGTTGTAGAATTACAATGTGAAAAAGAAAAATGATATATATATATACACAGTATAAATACATATGTATTATAACAAGGTAGCACTGTTTCATTACACAGAGCACTAATACATCTCCATTTAAAAAATAGAACATGAGATGCATAAAACTCTACACAACTTAAATAAAAGCCTGAGAAAGCATGTTTCCTCAGCTTTACAACCTTGAACACTGATATTCACATACTGATACATGCATCACTCTATAAGTCAGATAAACACTGAGGACTGCAGATGGAAATTAACTATTAGCTATAATCTGGCATAATTAATATCTTCTCTTTTCTGAGATTCATGCATTTGTATGTATGGTCCTCTTTGAAATAAATACATAATATATACAAAGGATATTGGTAGCTGCTGGCCTAACTCTGAGTCCAGTCAAAATAACTGTCACTGATATATGAAGTATTGGCTCCATCTTGAGGGCATTAGCAGTAAGGTTCTGTATAAATACAAGAGTCAAGTACAAATGTAATAAAGAAGCAGATCTCCTTATGAAGGTAGATATGGTGCAAAATGCGAGCGCGTGTAAAACCTGATGTGAGCACTTGCAGAAAGAAAATCTGAGCTTGTGTGCATACATTTACACTTGTATAAAATATCCACGTATCTGTGAACCAAATTTGAAGTCACAAAAGAAAAAAAAGTTTTAGAGCTTGTAGAAAAAAAATGAACTTAGTGATGAAATGTTCACTTGCAGAAAAATACATTTAAAAAATATATATATTCCATTACAACTGCAACTTGTAGCGCGTTCACACCGGAGTACTTTTCCCACAATAGTTCATCAGAACTACGATATATTTGCGTTCACACCAAAAAGCCCCAGGAACTAAATTAGTTCATCAGAACCATTTTTATGCCGTCTTGCCGGTACTCAGTAAGAAGTGCCGGTAAAAATCAGAAGTGCCGGTACTGCGTACCGGTGAGTACCGGCCCAATTCCAGCACTGGTCAAAGTGTGTAAAACAGGCAGATTTGACATATCAACAGTGTGCTCTATCTCATACCGAGTTCCCAATGAGTAAAGCCTTAGAATAACTCTCAACGAACATAAAATCATATTTTCATGTTAACAATATTGTATTTATTCCAGTTTAATGATTGTGATTGAAAAGCCTAAAGAGGCTGGTAAACATTGCAAAGAGGGATTTGTATTCCTTAATAATATTCGTAAACTTAAAGTGGACCTATCATGCTATATTTGAATAATATAGTGTAGGACCATACCTATATAAGGCATATTTATACTTTTTTTTTTGAAAATACCAAACAGATCATGCATTTTAGCCATGCCTCATTTTGCTCAATTTGACAATTTCTAGCTCTGTTTTTGCAAGGGCTGATTCTGTGAGAACAGCACCATCTACTGGCCTGGCATATGTACTACAGCGTCTCCAGCGCTTTCGAACGGCAATGGCCGTGGCTGTTTCCTCCTGATTGGTGGAGTTGGCCCAATAGCCGTAGCGCCACTGTCCTGACGTCAGGACAGTGTTCAAATCTGGATCAGTTTTTATCAGATCCGTTGCAGCCCCTTTTTTAGAGATTTGGGTATAGAGGTAAATAGAGAGGGTTGTGTTTTCTGACACTTGGTGAGTTACCTGGAACACCGGGGACACATATTCATGTATAAAAGACGTACAAAAGTGCATTTTGCATGATAGGTCCCCTTTAACCATGTTGTAGCCTGTGAAAGGCTAAACCATATCAAAGAATACATTTATTAAAGGAGACATGTCATGGCCATTTCCACTGATCATAATTCCATTGTTGAGGTCTACTAGAATAGATTTATATTGTGCAATTTTCCAAACTCACATTGGTTTCTCATACAGCGCATCTCTGTAAACTACGTGTATTCACTGAATTTCACTCTCTGCCTTTAACGGCTCGTTGTAGCTCCAATAGCTCCAGCCCCCACCCTCCCTGTGAGCACAGTGTGCTCTGATTGGTCGGGACCATAGACTGTATATATAATGTATATATCGGGACGTTGTGAATTGCGCTGAGCTCCGTGGAGGTGTTGTTTCCTTGTTTAGCGATACACAGCGAAACACAGCCAAACTCATCCTGAGCACACACAAAGTCACAGCCGAAGTAAAAACAATAAGTGTGGCTTGATATTGAGTAAAAAAAAGGTTGATAAACGCTGCGAGAATGGGTCTGCAGAGAGAATTTTGCCACGATCCCAACTGTCTGTTATCAGCCTGCAGCCAGGGAGGAGAAATCAGCAGAGCTGCCTGCACTGTGTGTGTGTGTGACGTAACGTAACGGCTCCGCGGATTGGTCCATTTCGTTCCGGGTACGGGATTACATCATCCCGTATACCGGAAGAATCAAATGGACAATGACGTATCTCCAACGAGGCGTTTGGGGAGGTATTTTCTGTGTTAGAGTTTTACTCGCTACAGGGTATACTTTGAGGATTTTGACTCTGCACACCGTTTACATGCATAAAAACCTTCATAACACACAAGGGGACGGGTAATAACCGGAAAAGCATGACATGTCTCCTTTAACTACATTATCTCATTTAGCTGTAGCTTTTTTTTTTAAAAGACGTATTGACCAGTCGTTGAACCAGGGACCCTTCGTTAGGAGTCAACTGCTTTCCAGCTGAGCCACAGCACACACACTGATTCTGACTGAAAACACTGTATACCACTTATTGCTGTATTTATTTATTTATTGATGTTTTTATTCCTACTTTTATTTATGCTTTTATTTATTGAGTGGCCTACTTATGACATGTTCTGACCTCTATATAAGTGAGGGTCTGAGCTTTCTTAATTCCATCGTGTCACCGCCGGGCCCGGGTACAGGAGGGGTAATATCGTTCTTATTATACATCCATGGGTAATATGAGCGTTGTGGTTCAACCGATCTGAATCGCTTTCTGAAGCAGTCACGTGGTATTGACAGGCAGCGAGGCTTCGTTTGTCATCGGTGACGTCACTGGCCCAAAACAATGCAAGCCTCGATACCAAGCGGCAAACTCTGGGGAAGAGCCGGGACGCCAATACGGAAGTGCCACAAACTGCAGTACATATATTGGCCGATAGGCGATGACTGCAGAAAGGAGCAATTTCCATAGACCCCAATGTTAAAATGCCCAATTTCACAGCAGAAAAAAAACGTTTCTAGCCCTGGCTCCAATACATTTTATTATGTATATAGTTAGATTCCACCTTCGTGATTATGAATCTGTGAGTGAATTGTTTTCTAACGCGACCCTTTTATTTATATTAGGTCTTAAAGTTTTTGCATAAATTAGGGCGTGGTCACTTTGATGGACAGGTACGTGCCTCACTGTCAGCTAACAGCAATTTGTCCACTCTGCTAGGCTACAACGTTAGTTAGTTGTAGTTGCTGTACTTGACCCTTTAGCCGTGTTCGTGGTGATTGTGCCTTTTAGGGAATATTGTTACAAATACCAGACAATTAAAATGTCGTGCTGTGCGCTTGAATGTACTAACAGACCTTCCAAGAAGTCTACTCTCAGCTTTTTTCGGTGAGTAAAATGATAATATTATACATGTTAATCCCGTTAGCAGGTGTTTGTGTGCTTGTTAGCTTAGCTTGTTATGTAGCTTATTATGTAGCTTATTAGCCAGCTAAGGACGTAACCCTTTATACATGTGTATATATACAGTTTAGTTTATGATTCAGCCTTTTATAGTATATGGCTGTGACGCCCATAATGCTAAACGGGAGCAAACGTTAAAAGGGGACCCAATTATCCCAGTGGTGGCCGCCGGAGTCCACGCCGGCCGAAGCTAACGGAGCCGCAGGGGGCTAGCTCGCTAGCGCGTCCCGGCTGCTCCGTTAGCTTCGGCCGGCGGCGGAGTCCGGCATTATAACTGGAGATCAAGGAATGCAGCGAAACGCAGACTTGGTTCGCCTGCAGCCCGCTGTAGTATTAGCTAAATAAATTATGTTGAACAAGGCTTATTAAGCTGAACATCGCCACAATTGTTCTGCTATGTATCGGTACTTATTTTATTTTATTAACATGTGAATGACAAGCATTAAAAATAACAACAAATAGCTCATTATCTTGCAGATTGTCTCGTTTGATTATGAATGTAACGTTTATATAGTGGAACTACACTGTTTTATCAAAACCAAAGTGCCACGCAGTAACTTGGTATGCATGTATTTGACATTTACCAACACAGACTATATAGAAATATTTGTAAAAGTTGTTCATGTGTTATTAAGTGAATATGGCATTAACCCTCCTGTTGTCTTCGGGTCAAATCTGACCGATTGACTACTTTCATCAATCATAACTTTTTTGTTTTACATTCGATTGCATTAAGGATTTATGATATCCTTCACAGTAGACATTTGAACATATAAAATTGCTGATCACCACTTTCATTGAATTTTGGATGATTTAGTCAACTTTGTAACACCTCCCTCCATGTCCCTCTGCAATTTCCTCCATCTTAGTTTAGCTGTCTGTCTCTCTCACACACACACACACACACACACACACACACACACACACACACACACACACACACACACACACACACACACACACACACACACACACAAGATGTGTTCCCCCCCCATTATGTGCCCATCCCCCCCTGACCTACACCTTGTCGTGGTGAGTGGGCTTTAAACTAAGACGGGTCATACTGAATAGTCTGTGCACACATTTTTAACATGTGATCTTTCTTTCATGTAGGACGCTTGAGGGAAGTTGCAACGCCTCGGCCAATGTGATGTCTTCCCCACGTGAAAGAGATTGAAGGCATAATTTATAACTTGAGACAATTTTCCAAAAATTATGACTTTTATTGGCTTAGGTAGTAATGGATTATATCTAACACGAATCAAGATCGTATAGAAAAAAAGGAAAGTGTAATCCTTAGTTACATAGGAAAAGATGTAATCGGATTAGTTTGACTTTTTTTAATAAT